AAAGCTCTTGCAAGTATTTGCTGACGCATCGACTGGCATGCTCGATCAATTTGCAAGCTGCAAGTAGAACCTATCGGAATAGTCACTTGCTGACTAAGAGGATAAGAGGCTGGGTGGATAAAGGAACTCCTTAGTTATCATACCTTTCACTTCCTAATTACCATATCACACACTTCAGAACTTTATATAACACAAAACATAAAAGGTGAATCTTGTATTTCTACGTGAGTCATTGCTACAGGTCCATTTATTTAACAACTGCGGAAGTTAGAATGATTTTCAAATTTCAAAGTTTACGTTGATTCTGTTTGAGAAAAAATGCTTATATGTATTTTGTGTTATATCATTTATGTTTTCGTATGAAGATTTCCCGCTACTATGTAGGTTCTTTTCTCATATCTATAGAAATAAAATCGCATTTCGCTTTTATCATCTTCTTTTTCTTTGTTAGCAATACTATTTAAGCTTCAACAGTTCCTCAAAGTTGTCAATGCTTTCACCTATAAAAACTGAAGGAAGCTATGACAAGACTGGAAGGCAAATGCCAATGTTTAGAACTGTTTATATCATATTATATTTATGTTTATTTCGACGAGAATAATGAAAGCGAGTATTGAACAAGTTTCCGATACGATCAACTGCTTCAAGTGCCAGCTCATATCTAAGCATAGTTTTCCACATGCATAAGTTACCACTAATGGTTTTAGGAGGTTCTGAGGCGTTATGGAAGCTTGCTGCACTGCTTGAAAACTTCAACAATCGCTGACAATCAATGAATAGCATCAACAAAATATGGATTTTAAAATTTTCTCCGAAATTAATCTTAATCTTCTGAAAAATTCGCAATTCCACCCTAAATCCCACCATCACTGCAGCAAAGGCAAACTCATTGAGAAATGTTAATATAATGTGGTTTTTTTTTTCGCACAATTTTCAGGAAATCTGTTTTCCATTGAAAAAAGTGATTGCAAAAGTGTAAAATACCATAAATGTTTCGTCTTGAGAACACATTCGTTTATGATTGCATTTCGAGTAGATATTATTTTATACATTTTTGCCTACGACAGTTCGTAAAATCTTTTGAAACAGATTCTTACTAATTTTTCTTATCTAAATGTTTCAATGAGAAGATGAGAGCAATCTAATTGCAGTAGTAAAAGGTCTGCAGCCATTTTTTAGCGTTTCTGCAAGAACTTACAGTTTTCACAATTCGACGCAAATAAGAACTCATTTTGGAAAAAAATTTACCAAAATTTTTTACGAGATCTGAGATATCCTTCTACAACAATTCGCTGCGCAATCAACCGTCCAAGATTGCTTATGGGTTTATCTATTTATAATGGTGTAATGCAAAGATAAAGCAAATGCGCGTAAGGAACAAAACCATGCCTTTCATGCTAGGGTAAAAACGGACTCACCTTACAAGGCTA